AAACGTGGAAGTTGATGGAGATGTTTTTGTTCATCTACTTATCTACACTAGAGGGTGTCATTCCAAAACAAATTAAGTTTAGCGCAAGTTCAGACAGGAAGAACTATCACTCCGTATTGCACGTCATGGCAATACTCGCTCCCTGCACTAAATGACAGGGAGCGCCACTCCTCAGCTAACCTATCACTCCCCTTTATTTACAAGCCTAATTATCGCACCTGTTAATCCCTCTATATATGCTCTCCCCTTTCCTATCAGCTGTCTTCCAGGTGTCAACGCGCAAGCAGCAGCAGGGCTTCGTCCCAGCTCCAGGCATTATTCATCAGCTCCGCAGTCTTGCGGATTAAGCTACAGGCGGCGTCCCCCAGTCGGCTAGCGGTTCCAGCCGGCCGCCCCGCAAAACCGGACGCGGGAGGAAAAGACAAGGAAATCGGGCTCCACGGAAGTTCCTCCGGCTAATGGAAATGGGCTACTTCACGCAAACAATTGACGCACACCTTCAGTCTCTCAAGAGGGCATCACTGGCATCAGGGCCGCTCAAATGCGGCGCTTCCGGCTTCACGCGGAACGGGTCCTCATCGCATGCGAAGCTTTACCCATTCTGGCTTCAACCACAACCCCTCCTGCAGGCAGGCAGGGCGTAAGCTACATCCCATTTGAAGCTACTTCCTCCTGCGCCTCACCTCTAAAACAGGCGTCAGGGTAGCGCTGGCAAGAGGCAGTTGCAACAAATTCACGATATGTTTCGTATATTGTTATGACATTTGGGTAATGCAGAGTGAGATCGCTACCCCTTTAAGAGAGGGTGTGGCGCGTGCATGTGTGCGCGGGCATGGTATGGTAGACCGAGCGGGATACATGTTTTCTAGAAATAACGAGGCAGCAGAAAAAGGAAGGTCTGTGATCTTGCGAAACAGAAGAGCTAAATAAATGCAACGACCTCCCAAGAAGAGCTCGCCTCTCTCCAGTCTTTCCGATAAAATGGGTTATTGAACCCGAAGCGTGTTGCTTCTGCCTGGGAGACGACAGAGAGTCATCCCCCCCGTTTCCTCGACTACGGTCTGGGAGCCGACAGGAAGTTCAACACTATGCATTGCTACCTTTAGTTCAGGGTTAAGGTGAGTCCCAGCAGGCAGTGTTGGTTGTAACGTGTTACAGTATGGAGTTCAGTAACGTATTACTTGCATTACTAATGCAGTTCGGGTAATTACTACCCATTACAATGCTCAGTAACTAACGCAGTTTCAAGCTTCAACACAGTGTTACCTGAAATAAATGGCGTTTCGTAGGGCTTATTTTCCTCAATGACCAAGTCGCTGCACATTATCCTGTTTATGACACGACCAGATACTAAATAAATTAGGAATTCACTCCCAATATTAATTGAATGATTATTGACTGAATGATCGTATTTTTCTCTTTCTTCTCCACTAAGAAATATTCCGTTTCTCGTTGCACCAACGGCTGGATCTGCGACAACAACATCTCCTCGGCAGTAGGGGTGCAACAACTAATCGACTTAATCGATTACCAAATTAGTTGCCAACTAATTCAGTCGTCGATTCATTGGTGACGTCATCACGTGTGTTTTACGCGCCGTTAAGTTCCAACGTATTGGTCTTTTATCCAACGTATTGGTCTTTTATCGGTACCGGAGACATTTATAAAATATATGTCATGTATTATTGCTAAAAAACATTATATCGCAGTCTTAGTGTCGACAGATTACTTAATATGATTTGTTAAAGGCTCAGGGCAATCTATATGACAAAGGTCAATGTTCCCCCCTTTCTACGCACGGAGATAATGTAATCTTAATAGTGTGCAGGCCAAGGCTGGCTCTTCAAAGCAGATATTAACGACGCGCTTTAAAGTTCCCATCATCGTTCAGCGGAACTCTTTCAGCCTTAAGCGGCAGTCAAGTAAGGAGAAACTACGTGTGCACCGGCTATTCGGGTAAATAATATTAATAGCTGTCTCTCCCCAGTTCAAATCACCCACTGCTCAGGGAGATCTCCTCATGCGTTGCCTTTACGCATCTAGTGTTCAAATACAACATTACTAACCTATAACTCCGCTCAACTGGGAAAAAAGAAGAAGAGAATCCTCCAGGAGCACAGCGTTCCTAATCATGAGGAACTATAGGCCCAGTCACACACCTGGAGTTCCTAGGCATCACATCAAGCTCATGGTATTAACGTTCCTCTAACCAAACTGCTTGCATCCACATAAACGTCTTCAACGACAGTTGCTCTTCCTCATCGGGCAACCGTACTTTGCATGCGGATATTCTTCGGCACGCCATCATCTCCCGTTTCCTGGACGTGGCATCCGCCGGCCTCACGACGACCGCGTTTTCCCCGACTTAAGGACGTGCACCGCACATCCTCCGTTTTGGGGGGGACATCTGCATGAGATCATCCGCATAGCGGCACACTCAGATTTCCACTATTGCTACACATTTATTATCACACTCGCTGGATCTAACACTAGCGTCCCTCAGAAAAGAAGAAGTCAATCGAGACGTCAGCTTTTCTGACATATCCTTTCACGCCAGCCATTTTAGCTTATATCTTAAGCACTCCAAATGCGGCGGCGCCTGCTCCGTCATCGCTGCCCACAACGACTCCCAGTTCTGCCCTTATAAATCCATGATCAAATTCCTACAGCTTAGACCTACCTCTAATCCTCTCTCACGATTATTCCTTATCTCAGGGAATTTTCCTTTAACTCAACGACAGTCCAATATCTATTTAAAACAAGTCCTCATTAAATCCGGGTTATCACCCCTTCTATACACGGGGCATTCCTTTAGAATAGGCGCAGCTACTTCCGCTGCTAATCAAGGTGTCTCATCCTCATCCCTGCAACAACTCGGACGGTGGTCCTCCTCCGCTTTCTCATCCTACATTCGCCCTGACCTCAATGCCGTGCTGGCTATCCAAAGGTCTCTCCAACCTTAAAATTGGTACGTATGCATATAACTGGTGGTGGTTCCTAGCATGTCAGCACGTATGTCGCCCCACGGCTCATATTTATTCCTGCATATCTAACCCTGTATGTCCAGGTTGTAAAACCTTCGGGTCGTATAAATGTGTCCCTGCTAAGGCAGGTTGCCCCGCACGTCGGTGCGTCCGGGATGCCCCGTTCGCCCGGGATGCCCCGTACATCCGGGACGCCCCGTAAGTCCGGGATGCCCCGTACGTCCAGGATGCCCCGTACGTCCGGGACGCCCCGTACGTCCGGGACGCCCCGTACGTCCAGGACGCCCCGTATGTCCGGGATGCCCCGTACGTCCGGGACGCCCCGTATGTCCAGGATGCCCCGTACGTCCGGGACGCCCCGTATGTCCAGGATGCCCCGTACGTCCGGGACGCCCCGTATGTCCAGGATGCCCCGTACGTCCGGGACGCCCCGTATGTCCGGGATGCCCCGTACGTCCGGGACGCCCCGTACGTCCGGGACGCCCCGTATGTCCGGGATGCCCCGTATGTCCGGGATGCCCCGTACGTCCGGGATGCCCCGTACGTCCGGGACGCCCCGTACGTCCGGGACGCCATGTATGTCCAGGATGCCCTGTATTGTATGTCCAGGATGCCCCGTAAGTCCAGGATGCCCCGTATGTCCGGGACGCCCCGTACGTCCGCGAAGCCCCGTACGTCCGGGCCGTTAACCTCCGGTCCGTATAATGTGTCCCTGCTAAAGTCAGGTTGCCCCGCACGTTCGGGAAGCCCTGCACGTTCCGGGCGCCCCGCACGTCGGGTCGCTCGGTGCGTCCGGGATGCCCCGTACGTCCGGGACGCCCTGTACGTCCAGGATGCCCCGTCCGGGATGCCCTGTATGTCCAGGAAGGATGCCCGGGAGGCATCAGATGTTTAAATTCTCACATGTATTAACCTCTCATTTCCACTGCATCCCACAAAGTAAGATTCTTCACGTTCAGTACTTCATACTTCATTTTTTTGGGGGTTCATCGGAAACGATTCTTCCCATCCCGATTGATATCCTACAAAACCTGGGCCTAATCGCCAAAACACCATTTCATTCACTTGTGATAAATTGTCATCATTATGTTTCATTTATATAATGTGACCGATAATAAATATGTATTCCATACATCACGTCTCTCCTGATTGAAATGAAGCTTAGCGCAAGTTCAGACAGGAAGACCTATCACTCCGTATTGCACGTCATGGCAATATTCGCTCCCTGCACTAAATGACAGGGAGCGCCACTCCTCAGCTAACCTATCACTCCCCTCCATTTACAAGCCTAATTATCGCACCTGTTAATCCCTCTATATATGCTCTCCCCTTTCCTATCAGCTGTCTTCCAGGTGTCAACGCGCAACCCTCCTCCACCCCTTCGCCTCCTGCTTCCAACTCGGGGCCAAGCTTAACCTTCTCCCTTCCAACCGGACCTAACCACTTATCACCACCACCAGTGTCTAGACCCAGGGGGGTTCATCGGAAACGGTTCTTCCCTTCCCGATTGATATCCTACAAAACCTGGGCCTAATCGCCAAAACACCATTTCATTCACTTGTGATAAACTGTCATGTTTCATTTATATAATGTGACAGATAATAAATATGTATTCCATACATCACGTCTCTCCTGATTGAACTACTAATAACATTTATATTTCTATATTCTAAATTGTTTTGTTTTGTACTTTAGTATATCGCTTGTTACCATGTGTCACACAACTATAATAAGACATTCTGGCAACATTACATTCATTTCAGTCATAGATTTTCAGTCATTGATTTAGCAAAACAGTCTCTTGTGTCTCAATATTCTTATGCCTTGGAAAACAAACCTATGATTGGACTGACCCCAAGATAGATGACAGAATAGTTAAAATTAAAAACTTGGGAAAAATGTTTTACCCAGACCCTTAAAGCTCTGCAAAAAATGTTAAGATTGAATAACTAAATGTAACTAAAAGTCAAGTTGGAGTCCATTTATTTGTCGACAAAAAACTTAAACTCAAGGCAATTGGAAAGTCATTGGGTTTAATGTACAATTTGTTTTAAAAGTATTTTAACTTTTTCCCAGTAACATTTAACATTGAAATCTGGTCTATGCACAAATAAATTCAACAGTAGAGCACATCATGCTTAGGCTCTGCACCTAGCAGAAACATCGATCAAGTGTTATATCACATGGCTGAGGAGCGACAAGTTAAATGACAGTTTAGGTCGTTTTAGTTATTCACTACATGAACTTTTATCTCCCATTTGTTTTTCAATTAAAAATTACACTGAGAAATTCTTGCTAAAATTCATTAACTTTATCTCAATTGATGAAATAATTCAAATTCAGATCTCCAGATTCATTAAATATTATCAGATAATACACACTCACTAGTTTGAATTTTCAGCACAGATGAATCAGTATCTCTTTTCATTTATGCATCTATAAAATGTGATATATAGCATTGTAGGGTTGCAGATAGCAGTGTGTCTGATATGGTAAAATTAGGAAGTGAGGACATTTTCTACAGACATGGAGGTAAATTGCTCCATGACTGGTAGTTCGGGGATAATAGTGCAAGGCGTTAAATCTCATTTTTGATTTATTGTAGGAACCTTTTAGTGTTCTTAATGGCATACAATGTATCCAACTAGGATGTTCAAATAAAATGCAGGCATTATATACAGAAAAAACTGAACAATATAGTAAGCTGATTATACTTAAGTTCAAGATCAAGATCGGTAAAAATGTATAATCTTGCATAAACAACAGTTTTGAGAATACAATTTCTCAATACAAAGAGGACCAAGTATAGGCCCCTGTGGGACACTTAAAAAAGCCTTAAGAGTACTTGATATGATATGATTGGCAACTGCTGCCTGACTTCTGCAAGAAAGAAGGTGATAAAAACACTTATTTAGCTGTTTATCTAGGTACACGGATAGTGTTTCAGGTCAATTATTAATATATATACATACACACAGTATGCATACATAATATTGTAGGGATCTCGAACACATCTTATGTACGTGATTGTATTTAGATAATTTCTGATATTCATTGAATTTTCTTAAACCTTTAAACAGTTTGTTTCAAATGTTGTTTATGTACATGGACAAGTAACAAAAGGAAGAACCTGGGTGAATGACTAAATAAGCATTATAAAAACATTAATTTCCATAAAGTTACCATCTCATTGATATATACAGTATACAGTCACTTCAAAAAAGCCTTGTCAGACAAATGTTAAGGTGCCTATAGGAAAACAATAGTTTTGCTGGCGAGTCCAGGTGTTATCAGTTTAATCAATAACACAATTTAGGTTATGGCTCATATTCTAAGGCCTTCACAGACAACAGATCTCCACCTAACTGAACATTAACGGAGGATTGTAGGTCAACATATGTGACATTGCCAAATCAGGAAATATCTTTCTGTCTTTTTTTTCATCGTCAGCTGTTGACTAATATGCATTGTCATTAGCATGACCCTGAAGATGATCTTGAATGCAAGTAACTGTGTGGTTTGAATCTTCCATTGCTACGTATTATAACTTTAAATCTGTATATTCTTCACAATGTTTACTTATTAGGTTTGTTTGGATATATCAAGTCTCCATCCTTGTAAGACAGAATTTATTGGCAGTAAAAAGTGATGACGTTCTGCTGGTTTCCTCGTATCAGCACCACGGGACAGTGGAGGCCACAGGTCAGAGTATCCAGCCAGGCCATGTACAGAGCACTGGGGCAGTCGCTGTGAGGCACAGGAAGGCTCCTGGAAAAAAACATCACATTTGCATGAACATATCAGAACTGCAAAACAAGAACAAAGACTGCTCTTACTTGACGTAGGAGGAACAATGAAATGAGAGCACGCTATGGTTTGCAGCACACCTAAAAAGAACTATACTTTCCCACCTTTATCGCCTATCTGAATCATACTGCCATGCAAATGGCCACAGTGAACTTGTGTATAACATTTGGCATCGCTGTTTTCATGTCCTAATGCTGATAAAGAGGCCTGAATACATGTTTCAACTACTGTATATTTGTGTATGCATTTATATAGTGGTGTACTGTGTAGTTATATACTGATGTGCTGTATATTTATATACTGATTTATTTATTATTATTATTTATTACAGTTTTTTTTTCATCCTGAAACTGGAGGGCTATTTTTCTTTATAAGCCATGTTTTCTGCACTCCCACTTAAATTGTCAGATCCTTTCCGAAATATCCCAAAAAGTAAAATGATCGCAAAATGGTCATTTAAAGTGAGGCCCCTTCATTCAAAGCATAAGAAATGCTAATGATTCAGCATACATTACCGCTTGAATGATCTCTAATAACATGAAGTGATAATCTAACTTTGTACTCACACGAGCACAAGAGCAGCATGTTGAGAATTCCTCCGGATAATTTCATTCAGCCTCACTTTTCTCTCAGTCTGAAGGGATACAAAATTATTTTCAGTGTATCGCAGCAGATGACACCACTCAGAATCAAATTCTGCTTTACTGCCCAAGTATGTGCATGCAACCAAGGATATTAACTCTCCTTTCTTCATTGCTTCTATAGTATACTCATACATAAAAATACAAATAGAATAAACATGAATATAATGTACACAATGTTGAAACATTACAACATTAAGGACAGCTTTATGTTGTACATGTTGGAAATAGTTTTATTATCACACAGACCTTAAGTTTAAAGGCCTCAAACTCTTTTTCTGATATTTTCCATGGGGCACGTTTTCTCTGTTGAGTTGAGACACCTTCCTGCTGTTCATCATGTAGCATGAATGGGGCAACACTGTCCACGAATCTACTCAGGCTTGGAAGAAGTAAGAATAAAACAAAAAAAACATGAAAAGACTGTTTATTAAAACCAGTTTTAAAGAGTGAGCTTTCCTGTTTCAGGTTAAGTTTTCCACGTTTTGACAATCGTATGACAGCAATTGCAAAGGTTTCTGCCGACATACTTCTTTGAGTTTGGACGCTTTTCGCTGTCTGTCATGACTGTAACGTCGTGGATATCCAAACGAAACCTCTTCAGAAGAGCGATCATCCTGAAAGAGACAACATTAAAAGTTAAATGCAACAGTTGCCACAGATATTAATGTGTTCTGATCATCAAGAAATCTATTCCAAACCGTAATACATACACATAACATATGAAGTTTTATTTTTTGTGGGTAAATCAATATATCATGGTCATTACAAAGTTCTCACTTTGGATAGGTTGAGGAAAAAAATTAAGTGAATGGTCAATAATTCAAAGTTATTTGACTAATAAGTCTTGACATTTAATTCAGATAGGTGCATTATGCATTCTTTTGTCGCTCAAGTAGAAAAAGCACATATCACTTTTTTTTCTTTTGGTGTTGTGCTACAGTATGCATCAGGGTAGGGAGTTATCATGTGCTCACCCAACACTTGTGAAATAAGTTTAGTTATTATTTTATCATTCTATAAAAAAAAGAAAACATACTCATTGCGGCCTTCCTCCATGTTTTGTTCATCTCCCACAATGAAGACCCTGACCTTACTGCGATGCCAGCGTTTCCTCCTGGTGAGCAGGTAGGGAACTAGCAGAGTCAGACCTTAAAAAAGGAGGAGAAATACTGCAGATAAGAAATAATAGCCATGTTTGCAGTCCAGTGTCAGACACAAAGATTGCTCCGTGTGTCCACTGACCATTATTGTACTTAATGACAGAAAATAACTAGTTATAATGTAACTTTTTCTAAAAACAGATGTTACGGTATATCCATTATCAATCATTTTATAAGTGCCTTTTGACACATTTAAACAAGTGCACATATTTTGCTCCAATCTCACCCCCATCGTCAGCTATCCAGTAGACATCAATGGTCTTCTTCCCCTGGTCATTCTGAAACACCGTCTTAATCTGATCAGTGTCGTCTTTATAGGAGATGTTGTCAGCTGGAACAGCAAGAAGAGTGAGGTGCAAGAGCAAATATTGTAATCATGAGTGTCCCTTTACATTATCATTGGATATATTGGTTTTAAAGAAATGTATATCATAGGTGTTAAAAGAAAATTGCATCTCCAATGATGTTGTGCAGTACATTGTACTGTTATGTCAGATATCTGTGAATGACTAGAGGAGTGTGTCAGTAAAAAAATAAATGAGTGATTGAGAAAGGGAAGGACTATGTAGTACGTTATTAACACTCCTTTGGGATAAAATATAATAACTTGTATTTAAAACTGACAAACTGCCACACATGTCATAGGGTCAAACCACACTCAGTTCAGTCGAATAAGTTAAGGTTGTGGAGTGCTATAAATGGGACCCTTCATGGTCATTTTCAAGTTCTATTTGTGTTCTTACTAGAAAAACAATTCATAATTGAATGTTCAAATAACACATTATTTTTGTCGTTCCCTGTCTCAAACACACTTTATTAGAGCCTGTCTCTTTAAGACCCTGCCCCCTGAAAGAGGCCAGTCTTTGTTGATTAGCTTACAAGAAAAATATGGCCAAATTCGAAATGTACCTTTCAAGTCATGGGTGGAGAGAGATCGGGGGAGTCATTTTTATAGTAAATCTGTATACAGTATGACAGCCAGAAAACATGGGATTCAACAATTCCTAACTGAGGCAGACAGACAAAAAAACACACTTGTCGTATTCAAGATACCCCTTTTGTATAAACACAAACACGGCAAATGTATGCAGTGAAATGGGGGTGGAGACAAATGTTTTTCTCCGGGTTGCAGGTAAACACTGATCACAGGGCATAAGATCATCTTGAGTGATGCAAGTAACATATTGATGTGTGTTAGTGCTCACCTGATTCTTTCTCAGGAGATTGCTGATTGTCAATTTCAACAGATTTATCAGGTTCAAAGCCCTGGTTCACTGAAAGACAGACATTGTCTCCATTATTTATTTTGTAGTTAAATCAATAATATACAAACATAACATTGTATTAAAGCATGCAGACAACATTTGAAGTAATAACAGGGTCTGGATTTCTAACCTTCAACATCAAATAGGTCTGAGATATCCAAACCGTCCATCATCCTCAGGATACACAGACAGTAGTTTGAGTCAAAGGTATCACTAGTAATAGAGGAAGAGAGAGTGAAAATTGTAGTTTTAAATTATAAACAGTTATCAGTGATCTTTACCTATAACTATAAAGACTATTATAGATTAGCAATGTGCACGTTTTCCTCACTTTAGTCTGCCAAGGAGATCAATACAGTTGATTTTTTATCTTATTTAACTGCACTTACTATATTGTGTTGATATAATCTTCAATACTTTCCGGAGAACTGTCCCTCCAGTTTGCCTTGAAGCCCAGGACCAGAGTGTTGGGCTTCAACTTGCCAAGACCAGAAGCCTTGACAACAATTTAAGAATACTTTTAAGTTTTCAGGTTTTATAAAAAACAAATGTAAACACATACACGTCTTATGTAGGTTGTCACAGATTGAACAAATACTCTATTGGAAGTAATATTTAGTTGCCAATAAATAACGTGTCCTAAGAAACAAATAAGAGCATAAATGAGTGTAAAGACAGAATTGTGAGGATGAGATAATGTAACTTATTGACATCTTAAAAAAACTGTATCTGAAGCCAGTTCAAGTCTGTATGATTGCAGCTGTAGTTACTTCCAATGAACACTTCTCAAATGATTTACCTGCAGCATATGTCGAGCTCCAACTCTAAGGCAGTCGGCAGTGAAAGGTGTGTAAAATGAGCGCACCTTTCTCTTGTTCAGCCACTTTACCAACCAATCAGTGGTATCCTGAGGCTGAGCCTGCCTGTCCTGCTCCTAGGGGATTTGGGAATACAATAGTGTCTTTAAATGACATAGGGATTTAATATAAGCTGTAAAAGCATGACCAGTAGGATACATTAGATTTAAAGCTAATAAGGATGATGAGGATTTGATAATTTCTTTACTACAAGGATATACATAATTTCTCTTATTTTCCTTTCAGAAAACACAACAGATGAAATGACTAACCATGACTATGTCTCCACAGATCATGAGGCTTATGTGCTTGGTGAAGGAGCCAACAAAGTCCACCAGGGCTGGACGCTGGTTTGGTGGCCCAGTGAGGACGAGACATTGCGGTCTAATAAAAAAAAATAAAAAAACATCGAACAGATTAAACTAAATTTCTCTTCTACTAAATTTGACATTGCAGTTTAATCCTATGAAGAAGACAATACTATAGAGAGAAGTATGTATGGTGCCATTAGATCGGAGGAATATTAATGCATAACCTTTTACCTAAAATTCTTGACATGGTCGTCGACACCAGACAGGGAGACTGAGTACGACAAAGCCATGTTGTATGTACCTGCCTGGACTGACGAACCCCAGTTCACCTCTGTGGATATCAAAACGCAATCAAGGGAGGACAATTTGCAAGTCAAAAAATAATGAAGTTGTTAAATTCTTTTTTATTCTTATTAGCACATAGTTGAATAATAATAACTTAAATGTATATAGCGCCTTTCAGGGGACCCAAAGAATAACAAAACATACATTTTTTAGACTTACTTGGCTTGTTGTAGTTGACGTATCCAAAGAGAAAGAAGATGATGCAGAAGGTGAAGAGGGCAGCCCACCAGGTGAACAGGAACATCAACACAATAGAAATCACTGCTCCAAAAAGAGCTGTCCATTTACTGTAGTAGTGAAATGACGGCCTCCAACCTACAGGGCGGCAACAATGAGTGGAATATAACATTACCTTTAATTGTTCATAGCCACCCCTTGGGTGGTCCAGTATGGCAACCATAGAGCAAAGGGCCTCTCTTGTCATTTAATAACTATGCTTATAAGAATACACGTTGAAAAACCTTGTGAAGTAATATTTCTTAAATCCATATTACTAATAATATTTTATACTTCTAAGGGAGAGATTTTTTTTAAGTTTTACTGTCAGTACTATGTTGATGAGATTGAGTATTTTATAAATTGGCTTAAGGTTAGGTCATCAAAGTGTTGGACTCTGATGAAAGGGGCTGCTGTTTGTTTAACGTTACCCACAGACAGTCGATGTTGGTTTGATAAGCTACCACTGCAATGTATACATATACTATAGGGGTCATTTTGGAAATGCAAAGCAAACAGGTAACTCACCAGGGGAGTTGGTGATTGAAGCGTGAAAGCAGCTGAAGTTGATGAGGCCATAGGAACACAGGAAGAAATTGGAGATCAAGGCTGCAATGGTGTTAAGGTCAGCTGTGACGAAAGACGCAAGAATACAAAAATGCATTACAAATTCAGAGCTACATAGAGGTAATCGCACAGACAGTAGTGTCACTATTAACAATCGAATCAATCAATTATTGCGTATAAAACTAGGAAAAATGTGAATCAAATATTCCAATATTGAAAATCGCAAGAGAATAAGATCACACCCACCGATGAGAATGAAAGCCACAGCAATGACGTAGCAGAGTAAGTAGGGCCCGGATTGGCTCATTATTTTTCCCATAGCCCTTTGCAAAGAATCCAATGTACGGGTATAGGTTGTCTTTGCATAGACACTGGCAGATAGGGAAGAACATAGAAGCTTTTACATATGTGCACCATGTTAGATTGTATTAGATTTATACAAATGTTAGCATGGATATGAAATATTTAAAGGAATGTTTTTGATTTGCATGCTTGCCTTATTAAAATATAACTTTACCAGACTGCCAGTAGCAGAAACGCTACATATATGACGATCATGTTAATATGGGCATCAGATTTAAATCATGTAATATAAGAGTAATACCTGTATATTATAGTAATATACAGGAGAAAGGCAGCATGAAAATATTTATCTTTTGTATGTGTGTATCTAAGTGTATATTAATAATTGTTGATTGCATATTTTGAATAAAAGAATATATTTTTGTTAAAAAGGTAGAGTTTAGAATAATGGCTGCAGTTTCTCACCTGAAAGACTTTAGGGCCAGAGACGAGGAAGCCAAGGGCAGAAGACAAGCTGGCTGCAAAGACACCAGCCGTGATGAGGTAGAAGAAACCTGAAACTTGGCCCAGTACCTGGTTGGGATACTCATTATTAGGAATCGTAAAATGGTTTGTTAACATCAATTATAAAACAAAAAATATTTAAAGGCTCATTTTACAAACTCAGTGAAATCATTGGATAAATAAAATATATTATATTATTTTTCTAATCAAAAGTAAACTGGATTGAGTAGTACCTGTAAATTGTTGGCCAGACCATATTTACAAGACTGTGACTCGATGCAGTCTGTGAAGTTCCAGCCCATATTACATCCCAGACCAACACAGCCTTCAGTGATGTTTCCAGTAATAATGTCACTTACATTACCAGAGGCATCCCGCACCACACATGACCCTAGAGAAGTATGATATTGAAAGTCATGATGTAATGTGATATTTATGACAGGCAACTTGTTTATTTCTAAAATTACCCAAGATGAGTTGGCTGCCAAGAAGGGGACAAATACATTATCCTCTTCATCACTATTACATAGATTTTCTGACAACATTGCTTGAAACACCCTAGTTTTCAGTAGCCTGCTCTCCTGACTAAAAAATAAAAAGTGCTTAACAGTTTTCTGACACTATAGAAAATCACAATAACAAAAACAGAGAAAGGCATCCCTTTTGAAACCATCAACAATTTCACGATCCTGTAGTAATGTGATGACCCTGCCCTTTCTATTGGTGATACATTCTCAGGTCAGAAGATATCCCCACCAGCTCAGATTATTAAACCAATCAAATGACAGTATATACAAATATAAAGGATGTTAGTATTATTAGCTTACCAACAGTTACAGTGATAATTAGATAGCTCAATGTAGTCCAGAAAATGGCCACGAGAGTGCCTTTAGGGATAGCAGTAGCAGGGTCCTGCAATAGAAAAATCATAAACAAATCATCGTTCTTGTTGTCTTTTATGGTGGCAGTGATGTCAAAAGAAACTGTGCCTTCATTCTCTTCATACTTCGAGGTCTCCGGAGATGTTGGCGCCAGACAGGATGCCGATGGTGGAGGGAAAGAAAATGGCAAACATCTGGAAAAAGTTGCCTTCAGGTCCTCTCCAGTCAGGTGTCAAGTTCGAAAGGAAGATATCACCTAGTGACATGCCAAAAATTTACTTAAATTTGAATATCATATATAAGACAGTCGTTTTTCTCAGAGAAGCCTAAACTCACTGTGATAACTAAAGAAGCCCTGGGCCTGTTTCTCTGGGCCAGGTGGAATAAATGTACCCACAAAGTAGTTGGCAAACGAGACCAAGAGAACTAAAAAGAACAAAATCTGGGCCTGGGAGAGAAAGAGAGATTAGTGTAAAAAAGGAAAAGCATAATAAAGAGTTAAAGTTCATGAGAGAAAATGAACTCTATAGGACAAATGGAGCAAGTAAATATAAGTGTGTCAAGATGTGCTTACCTTGGACTCCCACTCCATTCCAGCAAATGAGATGAGCAAAAGAATAGTCAGTGTGATCACGCCCACAATACGGACGTCGTTGATTGCATCAACTATGACGACATCGAACTCCTAAAACCAAATGATTTGTACAAAGAAATATAAATCGATCTATGAAGAAGAACTTTTGGGCAATTAACCCTCCTGTTGTGTTTGTTTTCCCCCTTTACTTTTGTGTTCGTGGTCACATTTGACCGGTTTTAACTGCTATTACATTAACACAAAAACCATTAATCATCACCAAATTTCATTTAACCCCCCTATGCAAACTGTAAATATTGTATCAGACTACTGGTATACATGAAGAACTGCAGAAAATATACAAAGAATAGACACTGAACATGTATTGCGTGTGCCAGGTGTGATCCATGTGGGGGGAGGGGCACATAAGAGCTGGAAATGTATCAAGCCGAGATGATGTGTTATGTGGTGTGCGTGGTTGAACCTTTTCATATTTAAGTTTGTAGCAAGTAGAGGGCTGCTGCTGTGTGTGTGTGTTTGAGTGCATGTGCGTGCGCGTTAGTTTTAAAGACCCCCATAGAGCTCAGTTTATAACTCGAACCCTGGTAAACATGTTTGTTTAAATAAAATAGTACACCAAAACATAACTAGATGGGATTCTTGTCTTGTTAACTATCTATATTCTAAAAGAGTATTTAAAACAAAACAATGTTTGTTTGTTTTTCAAGTTGAAGCATCATTTTACCAGCAATAGATCACGGACGACCTCTGCAAAGCCAAGAGTGTTGAGTGCACAGGCACATGCGTTGGCGAAAGAAAATACCATTCCAATGGGTCCCCCAATTTCAGGACCCAGCGAGCGGGAGATCATGAAATAGGCCCCTCCTGAAATTATGTTTAACCACAAAAGAGTGACACTGATTGTTAAGATAGAATACTGTGGATCTGTAGTTATACCAAGGGTGAATGACTAAGCAATTTGTGTCACCTTTACATGTACATTTTCTATGTATTCAATATCTTTCCTTTAGTCTTTTTGCTTTGGTTTCCATTCTTAAAAAAGGACAAATCCGTTTTTTTTTTACCAGGAATAGAAATTAGCATTCAACCCATGAAATCATCTTAATACACTGGATAATAATAACGTTTTTGAGACACAGGAAGTTACTGACCTGAGATCACCCTCCCGTTGGTGGCGATGGCAGAGATGGAGAGGGCAGTTACGGTAGTCACTAGCACGGACATCAGGATAATAACCCAAGTCAACACTGGAAAAAAAAGGTATTTACCATTACTTTGACAATACATTGATAATGTTTGGTAGTTATTTTAAGGTTTCAAGGTCCATCTCTGCATATTTGCCAAGGAAAGTCTGGGCAAAGGTCTGTTGCCTCTGCATGACAACAGGGATGTAATGTACATGCTTTCATATTCTTAAAATCATAAGTCTTTGGCTATTGTATAACAAAGCATTCAGGGTTCTCAAAAACAGGAGCTTAGGTTTGGGGATAATGTACATGCTAAAGTTTGTAAATAACTTATTCTCAAAATGTTTGAACCAGTTTCTTGATCGATGTAGGGCACATACGTAGTTTGGTTGGAAACTCAAATACTATAAAAAGTGTTTGTGCCTTCATTAACTTTTTATCGTGCAATTAATGCGATTCCGTTTACAGGGAATTGTCTTTTTTCCCCCTCATCAGGATTTACCCAGAGAAATAGCACTTCCACACAATGTGCACAACCTATTCTTTTCATGCAACATAATGTATAAAAAAGTTACAAAGTCGTGGATCAGAGGGTGTGAGTGCTACAGCCTCAACACAGGAATAAAGAAAAAATACTTATGAACAAAAGGGACGAATGAACTCACAAATGCCTGCCTGAGAAGTGATCCACGATAGGCGGAGAAACAGGATGACACCCCAAATATTCAACATGCAACGAATCTGTGAGAAAATGTTCAGTTAAAAAAAGCTTGGCATAATGTTTGTGAGATGGTTTTAAACATAATATGTATTACCACAATTGAAATAGGCAGTATATGAAGTCACACTTAAATATACAACAGCAATACCATGACTCCAAGCATCCATCCAAATCTAACTGGAGCTTTCTCCTGTGGAGTTTGTGACTCTTCGTTTCCGTTGCCTGGTAGACTGCCAACTTCCGAGTCTGTGGTTGTGGCTTCTACACCTGCTTGCACCTCCTGAGAGAAATACATTTATTACAACGCCATTTTTTGGTCGACATGGGAATGAATTAACGACGGGGGGCTAATTTAGAGGACTCTGGTTGCTGTAAGACGTACCTCAAAGGCACTGCGGAGAGCTACAAGAGATGGACGAGGCCTTGAAAGGCGGTGTGGCAGTGTGCTGGCATAATTCTCCAGATGGGGCACCAGGTCCAACGTACTGTATAATGAAGATCTTCGTAGCTCCGCCCTCGAGCCCCGCTGCTCTGATGCACTGTTGGATACAAGGTTCAGACAAAGTGTTATTTTGAGGCCATAAAAGCACATTTTGAAGTAAATGCTGAATGTGACTTATGAGCTAGATGCTGCAAAATGTCTTGGTCATAAACTTTTAAGTTAATTGATTTCTTTCACAAAAGTCCCGAATGACTTTTAGCATCTAAAGATGCAGTTATAAAAAAAAGACAGCAATAGGCTCTATATTGTTTATGGTTCTCAGGAAAACTAAACATATACAAGTATTTCATTTCTTTGACTAAAGTGACACCAACAAAAGTCTACAAGGGGCAGAAATACTTTTTATGGAATAAGGGATTTAACAGTTTATTTGTAGCAAAAGTGAAGCTAGAAGTCAACAACACAAACCTTGGATCCGTGTCTGAGACAACGATGGTTGGAGGAATTTGGAGGCTATCATTTCGTTGCTGGCTGCTGCTGTCAAATTGGTTCGGAGAGTTCCTTGGAGGTCCATCCTCATTGGTGGAGAAGCGGACACGGGGAACACCGCCCAGGTCCAACCCGTCACGTTTGGATGCCAACTGCCCCATCCGCAAGTCTTACTGATTCATGGATGGGGTGAAAGCTTGTTTATACAGAAATTATCTTTGCAAGTCATAAAATATCAGAGTTAACATGTCTGCAACAAGCTACTACTAAATAAAGTTGTCTAAGGTCAAACGTTCCTTCATAAATGACACTGAATCATACCGTTGACAGGATTCTATTGTTTGACTAAATACTGATTCAATACTAGTGTTGAATTCAGGAGCAGTGTGTGGGAGACTTCTCTACTATATAATGAGCTCACTACAATGCACCTGCATAAGACACGGCACAATTATTTTATAATCTGCTTGACAACCTTTAGTTTTACAAAAGATAATTAAACTGTTTGGTTTCCATTATGTTGGATATACATTCAGTTAGACCAACATATGTTGTTACAGATTGGTATGAATATATGGTACATAATATATTGGTCATAATAAGCTCCCAGCTTATAATATATATGGGCATCTTGTTTCTATGAGCCAAAATATATTTCTATGAAAACATTGAAAACTTAGAAGTCAAACGGTAGATGGAGGATATCAAAACAGTTAATCACACAGCAATAATCAAAATATATTTGATCATTATACACATTTTAAAACATAATACTTTTTACAGTTATTACACATGAAATGTAATTCTTATACTATTTAGAAGTATATTTGAAGAAAAAACAAGTACTCACACAGTTTGTTCTTATCCGGGATGAAAAAGACGTTGTCAATGGAAGAAATATGTTCATTACTTCCCTGCAACTCTTGATATTTATACTTTCAATGAGATAGGGACATCCCCTCCCATCTTCCTCCGCTTCCTCCCTTACCGACACGCACACCAGATCCGTGTACACTAAAAGAAATGTTTCATAAAGATAACATTTTTTCTGATATTTCAACACAGTTTCCATTGATATTTTTGTTCAAGCGTATACTCAGTTAACCTTTAATATTTGATGTTTTCCATATCTAGCTTCTGGAAGATGTTTTCTGTGAAATAACATTTTAGCCAACGGCAACGTTTGCAGTAAACAGAAGGTGTGGGTGGTTAATAATAGCCACGATAGCTAAAGAGTTTTTAAAAGTCAATATTATTCACTATCTACTGTAAACTTGACACAGTCCAATTTTTCTTAGATTTTCTGAAAATCTAAGAAAAATCAGATGTCATGGTGATGATGGTTAAGGACAGATATAACATAAACCATTCAAGCAAAAACAATGTTCTAATTACTTCCTAAACACTTGGTTGATGTGAACAAGAACATTCTAATAAGATGTGTTACAAATATGTTACTTTAACATTCTGGCACTAAAAATGATTAGTTAAGTTAGTAATATTAAGCATTTTTAATGATAATTGTTCACTTTTTTGAATAGGAACAGAAGTTATAAAAGTGTTATGACTGTTTTAATACAACAATAATCCTAAAGGCATATTATTCAATGTCTAGATGAGTCAACAGCAGGGCTGACTAAACCTGCATGTTTTCAAAATTGCTGACTGTACATGAGCAGGTAACGTTTACTGGTCAGAAAAACATCCTCTTCTGCTTTCACTAGATGAACACTTAAAACAGTATTAATAAAATAGTAAAATATATGATTTCTTACCTTACGTGTCATCTCTTCAACATTTCAAATCGGTTGAATGTCTTATAAAGAATTCCAACAATGCCGATCTATTTTCCATTAAAGAACATTTAAACATACTCTGCACACAAAAGATAGTCAGCAACAATTAAAATATTGCTTCTAAAATTCAAGAACAATTATAAACTCACTGTTTGTATCCTTAAAAATATGGGACTGGTCAACTGAGGTCGTTTTAAACATACTATATAAATAAACGTATGTATTATACCGCATATTAGCCATATTAAAAAAGAAAAGTGTACTACTTAGAATAAAAACTGAAGACATTGGAGGTCTATAATACTTGTATTGTTGTTGTTGATAAACTGAAAGTATACATTTGATACCATACAGTTCAAAAGAAAATTGAAAGACAAAAGATGAAAAGTATGATACTACTGATATTGTAAGTTTCTTGAAAATACAATATCTTTAAATCTCTACCTGACTATCCATTAAACAAGAAAGTAGTCTCTTTAATTTTAAATGTACATTGGAAAATGCAGGTCAATACGTCATGAGGCTTTTAGTCTCTATACTAATTGACTTATTCAATGTAGTAACCTTGTTTCAGTGTTTTCGTCAACCAGCCATTATTAAACCTGCACCCTAAAATGCTCACGATGGCATTGTGCTCTGGTCAAAGCCTCGTTACACCCACACTGTAGACACATACCTCTAAAATACCCTTACAATATTAAGACTGTGGATTATGTCTTCAAGCTGGCACATTTTGCCCTTACTGAGTGCTTTTAAAACACAAAAAACACTTTGTGAATCGGATGCAACTCTTCCTCGACCTTTTGACACATTCTCTTTCCGCCATGCTAGAAAAAGTCACAGAATTGTGAGCTCTTGTAAATTTGGGAGCGTCCATCATAATAACATTGTTTGCAGTTCATTTTTAGACTTAGTTATGTCCAGAAAGCATTAAAAAAAACAAGACATCATGGGTGATCAGTAGTGAGTAAATAAGTACAATGACTAGGTATGTATGTGACGTCCTGGATTTCATTATTTACACTGGTACCCTATGATCTCCCCTTCTGATCCTAAACGCTCTCCATTTTTTGCACATAAAGAAATATCCTGTTGCTTACATCATGACAAGCAGTAGGCCAGGTATACATGGGTAAAGCCTCCAGTATTGGGGGGGAGAAACCAAAAGGATACAAAAAAGAAAGAATAAGATATAGAAAGTGAAGAGATATGCATGATGTTAGACAAAAAAAGCATCACCAAATCTAAAAACAAGACGCAGATATAGAATCTTAATCCCGTCCCCTTTTTTCTTCTTCATCCCCCTACACTTGCCTACATAGTCTAAATGAGGAAGAATCTCTCTTGGGCTCCCTGTTTCCCCTACAAGGCATTTCCGTCTTATTAGGTAACCTGTATTATTGTATTTTTCACATTCAGCTTCCAGTAGCAATTCTCTGAGGAAAAACCTTTAAGGAAGCCCGTTTCCTTTTTCTTGTAGCCACAACAGCAATGTTTGGAGTAAACAGAAGAGCCAGTTTTTACGATTTCAGTCATTTCCAATTATAAAAGTGTCGTCAATTGTATGCCATATCATTTCAAAATAAGTGTCCATAAACAGAGGAAGCATCCGTAAGTCGGTAGGGCGGCATCTTTGATACACTTGATTATGTGGGTTCCTTGGAAATACAAGACCTGGAAATTTGAAACACTACTAAAATAAAAGTAAACCTGGCAGACTTATTAAAAAAAAAAAAAGGTACATCTTGCAGTGTACTCATTACAGTGGCAATACCCAGTTATTATTAAACTTGCTCTATACATGCTCACGATGCCATTGTGCTCTGGTCAAAGCCTCTTGTTACACCCACACTGATAAAGGAATCACTGAGGTAGGAGTCTTGTTCCAAAATGGGATATTAACTATTTCTTAACTCAACGCTATAATAAGACTCTGTATTTAGTCTCCAAGCTAGCAGGGTGTAGGATTATTTTTTAAAGAATTGCATAATATTGTATGTAGACATGTAGACATGTATGTTGTTGTTTATTTAAACCTCAGTACAATGACTAGGTATGTATGCGACATATCTAGTAATGCACTTTTTAAAAAGATTAAATTATTAATAGTTAAATCTAAAAAAGCAAGTATCTACTACAAACAATAGTTCATTTTATCACCAATAATGTCACACAGCATGTGCATCAGTTTGTTTTTATAAGTAGACAGGGACAGTTTTTTTCAGATAAATAACAACTAGGGTAATTCGCGCACCGCATATAATACAATAAGGCCTAGGATTGGTACCACCTGTAGACACAGGATCTACACTCAGGCAACAGACTATCACAACCTTCAGGACAATATCAATGCGTTACACAACACGATTGCAACAATACCGATGCAACCCAGTAAAACCAACTCGATGGCAAACACACACACACACATATATAGTCCAACATCCAACAGTTCCATGATTCAAATCTTCACCATAATCCCGTCCCACTGCTACAAAGCGCGGGAGATCTTAGCTTCTCTATTCAAAGTTGACTCCGATTAAATGTGTCACATATTTGCAAATTGCAACACTTGGGACCCCAGAAATACACCCCTCAAGTGTGAACCGAAGAACTGTTCTCGGGATTGTACATGTTCTCTTGTGGAAATAAACCTTCTCTAAGTGTTGTCATTTATAACATTTCTTTGTGCACGCCATTTTGTACAAAATGTCTCATTAAATTACACCTTTAAAAAGTGGCTAAATGGCCGCTATGTTTCACAGGTGAATACAACTTCATATTGTTGGCAACATAGTTAAATCAATTCATATAAATATGCTTATGAAATAAATAAGGTTATGAAATACATTCTGAAGTAAATAAAGCAAAAAATATATATAAATGTACATTTAAATACAAATGTATTTATTTCATGGGACTTTTATTTCATAATGCCAGATTTATTTATTTCAAGAGACTTTTATTTCATAATGCCACATTTATTTATTTCAGGGGACTTGTATTTCATAATGCCACATTACATTTCCATTTCTTATATTCAAATGAACGGGGCGTGGTTAGCTCACAGATCCAGACCAAAGCAACAGCACCACAACACATGACTCAATAGCTCTTGCTTCACACTCCAGTACTTTTAAGTGGTTTGCAAACTGCCAATAAACCAAACCGGTTTCTGTTCAAGAACCGTTCTTGTGCTTTTCTGGTGCTTAACTGGTTCTGCCCCTTTTCCACCAAACCGGTTCCAGAGCCAGTTCCGGGCTACAGCCTGATTTAGCTCTGGTTCTTCCTGTTTCAGCCGCAGCGGAGCCAGCTCTAAACACCGAAAACCGGTTCTTAGCTGACCCCACTTGGCTGCCCGGCAAGAACCAAGAACCACGCTCACGTCGGAGGGGGGAGATTAACCTGAATGATGATAATCGCATGATGTATTGTTAGATGTGCCAAGAGCAAGGACTGTCTTAGGTAAGACAGCTTTTATGTGCGCAGCTCCACTTGCTTGGAACAATCTTCAGCAAGAATTGAAACTGAGCAATCTCATTCCTCTGCATGTTTTTAAAGCTAGGCTAAATGAAATGCTCGTTGATACTATGGGCACTTGTAAATGTCTATAACTATGTAAATGTATCCTGTAAATATAATGTATGATGTCCTTTATTGTTTTATGTTTCATCTGGAAACTATATGCTGCAGGTCTCCCTTGAAAAAGAAATCTATGATCTCAATGGGACCAATCTGGTTAAATAAAGGTTTGAAATTAAATTAAATTAAATTAACCTGAGCCATAATAACAGTTTATGGCGAGTACGGAAAATGAAAGTTGTAACAAGCAGTAGCGCAGAGCAAAGTGACTAGAACGCAACCACACACTTTATAAAGTCAGGCAACACTAACCAGGCTTCGTGTGATTCTGTTTATTTGTACCTTACTTTGACCATCCGTTCACTGTTATTGATCATTGTGGAGAGAGGCAGACGTTTTGTTTTGTATTATAGCAGCTATCGGATGGAATCAATACATGGGCTGCACAGGTTGTCATGTCCGACTATCACAAGTAGAATCATAATGAAAAGGTAAAATGTGCCTGTAGAAAACGGCTTATGCCACAATAGGATAGCAACGAGTAGTCAAGATAGTGAGATTAGCTTCGGTTACTGTTGCATAACTGCGGTCAACTCAGCCGTCTCTAGTTAATAGCGCCTTTACGGTAATCGCTGTACAAGAGTACAATAATGCATGTTTTTTTCTGCTTTGTTCTGGTGGGAGTAGTCCAAGTAGTACTGAGTCCAACAGTATACATTTTACTAAGAACTTATGGCAAAATATCATTTTATCTCTCATCAAAGATAGCTAAAAACATGCATTATTGTACTCGGGAAGGGAGTTTGACAGAGTATTACTCAAAAAGTACTTCATTGTATTTGTGGTAGTAGTCTAACAAGTACTGAGTCCAACAGTCCCAATTTTATTAAGAATTTATGGCTAAAATTCATATTATCTCTCATCAAATTTAGCAGAAGTGCCATGATTTTGTTCTCAGGAGGGGACTTTGAGAGAGTATTACCCAAAAAGTACACAGTAAAAGTAGCCTTCTTCATGTTATTGTAGCAGTCAAACTAGGACTGAGTCAAACAGTTTCATTAAGAATTTATGGTACAAATGACTTGTATTGCTAATAAAGCAGTTATGCAACAGCAACCGAAGCTAATCTCACTATCTTGACTACTCGTTGCTATCCTATTGTGGCATAAGCCGTTTTCTACAGGCACATTTTACCTTTTCATTATGATTCTACCTGTGATAGTCGGACATGACAACTTGTGCAGCCCATGTATTGATTCCATCCGATAGCTGCTATAATACAAAACAAAACGTCTGCCTGCTCTCCACAATGATCAATAACAGCGAACGGATGGTCAAAATAAGGTACAAATAAACAGAATCACACGAAGCCTGGTTAGTGTTGCCTGACTTTATAAAGTGTTTGGTTGCGTTCTAGTCACTTTGCTAAGCGCTACTGCTTGTTACAACTTTCATTTTCCGTACTCGCCATAAACTGTTATTATGGCTCAGGTTAATCTCCCCCCCTCCGACGTGAGTGTGGTTCAGCCAAGTGGGGTCAGCTAAGAACCGGTTTTCGGTGTTTAGAGCCGGCTCCGCTGTGGCTGAAACAGGAAGAATCAGAGCTAAATCAGGCTGCAGACCAGCTCTGGAACCGGTTTGGTGGAAAAAGAGCAGAACCAGAGAAGAACCAGTTAAGCACCAGAAAAGCAAAAGAACGGTTCTTGAACCGGAACCGGTTTGGTTTATTGGCGGTTGGCAAACCACTTAAGAGTACTGAAGTGTGAAACAAGAGCTATTGAGTCAGTGTTGGTGGATCTGTGAGCTAACCACGCCCCGTTTATTTGAATATAAGAAATGGAAATGTAATGTGGCATTATGAAATACAAGTCCCCTGAAATAAATAAATGTGGCATTATGAAATAAATGTCCCCTGAAATAAATAAATGTGGCATTATGAAATAAATGTCTCCTGAAATAAATAAATGTGTATTTAAAATGTACATTAATATATATGTATTGCCTTGTTTATTTCAGAATGTATTTCATAACCTTATTTATTTCATAGGCATATTTATGTATTTATTTAATTTTCGCTTAAACGGCATTCCATACCTAGCAGCCTTTCTGATTTAAAATAAGCCATTTTGGCTCCATCTAGTGGTTTACACAAGTATCAATACTATGTGGCACCAACATTTTAGATCCTGGTTCCTAAAATCATTACATAACATTATAAGTACTTTACTTTCTGAATTCAAGACATGGAATTTTGACTACACTCTATAGGCAAGGCAAGGCAAGTTTATAGCACATTTCAACCCAAGGCCATTCAAAGTGCCATAGACAGAGTAGGTATACCTGTATAGGCTATGTACATGAATTAGCAAGTGGAGTTCACAAACCACACATACAGTGATGCTGGTAGTTTGTGCCTAATGTTCAATATCTTCAACATCAAAATACTGCAATATTTTTATTTTAATATGAAATATCAAGACACTAACATTCTATCCTCATGCTTCAACTGAACTTACTTTATAATGATATACAAGGCTACTATATTTTTCATTTTATACCGAAAAAACAAAAACATGCCCTTTAAAATGGTCACATTTGAGAAACTACATGCAGAGAATTGCTTGGCGCTTTTTTGAAAAAAATAGAAAGTTGTAGCTAGTAGCTAGTTGTAGCTAGTAGCTAGTTGTAGCTTGTAGCTAGTTGTAGCTTGTAGCTAGTTGTAGTTGTAGCTTGTAGCTAGTTGTAGCTAGTAGCTAGTTGTAGCTAGTAGCTAGTTGTAGCTTGTAGCTAGTTGTAGCTTGTAGCTAGTTGTAGCTTGTAGCTAGTTGTAGCTTGTAGCTAACCGCCTTTTCTGACAATAAACCTTTCCAATTAATGTTAGCATTAGCCAACTCTTTAGAGACACAAAGACTAATAACATGTTTAATGTTCATGAGAACATATTTCTAAGACAGAGATAAAGATGTGAAAAGATTAGGAGGTTGCAGTGCTTTGTTGTGCTTAGCTACCCAACATGCCTGCAGCTTGTTTTGTTTGACTCACCCATAGCTGCAGAATTAAATCTGTATCCTGAATTCGATACGTCATCTTTCTGCTGCTGATGGTCTGTCGAACTTTCTTTAGAAGGTTTATTTTATGGCTAAATAGTTTCTAAGAAGTTTCTTAATTGTCACAGTCTAAAAATAAAGCCATTTCAGTATGCTCTCGGTGTGGCGCGTGTTTCGAAGCAGTCTCTAATTAGCAATGTGCTCATCTTCCGGCACAGTCTGCCCTATAAAAATACAATTATTTTCATAGCAATAACGTAATAACTATAGCGTTTGACCATCTTACCTTTCATGCAACATCCAGATTGATGTTTTGAAAGTTTACTTTTTTTTAATTCTTGACATTTGGGGGAGCTGTTGAGCTCTATAACACAGACAGAGACAATTTAAACAAAGGTTAGATTCCTCTTTGTTGTCAGGAAAATTCTGTGAATTTGTTATGCAATTAGTTGTATTTCACGTCACCTCTTAGGTTGATATACTAAATATAAAAGGTATTATCTTGACGCTTTAATTTGTTCTTGACCTTTTTTCCCCTTTTCTATTATTTGTATAGGCTACTGTCAGTTAGTTACAAAAAATAACTCCACTTTATTTAAGGGGAACTCCACTGACACTTACAGTACATCAAGGTGAGTTTACATGTCATGAGAAGAACTAATCAGCCTGTTAAAAGAGTTTTATAATGTATTTTGAGGGTTTGAAATTATTCTGAGGACAATTATCTTTAGTTATCTCTCAATTTCATATAATGTCATTTTGATTCCTTGGCACGCCATTTGCTGATATCACAAAGTCTGCCATGATACAATGTTTTATTTAATCAAATTCAGGGGCCTGAGATTATATCATATGCATGTATCACGTCATCAACTGATAAAAAGCCCCTAAAATGATTTAATAATTGAATTACTGTTTATTTAGGAAAGGGATGACCTTGGATGGAAATGTGTAATAAGTCAAGCCATGGACATTTCAAAATAAAGGTGTATCTTAAAGGCATAAGTGCTGCACTATCCCTTAAACTTTAAAGTGTCAAATAGGGCAGAGTTAGGATAATTTAATTTGGGTGAATCTGTGTTAATTATGCATACCGTATGTGTATGATGAATTTATTCTTCTTGCACTGATGTTATATCAGATCAACGTTATGTTACTTTGAGCAGCAGACCCAACTTAAACTAAACCTTACAAAGGGAGATTTTTCAATGAAATGTTTACCTGGTTAAATAACCACAAGGTGATACATGCCAACGCAGGAGCTGACGCCGAATGACATTTGTGTCAATTCCAAGTAAAATGATTTGTTCTATCTACTCTCCAAAAGAACTAGGGCACATCAGCCACAACAATGAATAATTTGGTTACCACAAGAGATTTGTCCTATTTAACTGTTCACAAACAGCTTCCTGTCGTCAGTGATATAACCCAACTAGATTTTGAAGTGTGTGTGTGTGTGTGTGTGTGTGTGTGTATGTGTGTGTGTGTGTGTGTGTGTGTGTGTGTGTGTGTGTGTGTGTGCGTGTGTGTGTGTGTGTGTGTGTGTGTGTGTGTGTGTGTGCGTGTGTGCGTGTGTGCGTGTGTGTGTGTGTGTGTGTGTGTGTGTGTGTGTGTGTGTGTGTGTGTGTGTGTGTCCAAGCCAATTCGTCTTTTTTGCGTACAGGTTTGCAATCTTTTAGCTTTGATTTCCAAGTCCCCTATTTCTGGGACTGAGCATATTAGCTCCAAATATCCAAATATACAAACCGTCATGAAAGAATTTTGAAGAAAGAAAGTAGAAAGAGCAGTTTCTTTGAAATCATCTTATTAGTCCTGCATTTGGTTCGTTTTAAAAGTCACACCTTAAAGATAACTCTGCCAACAGGATCTCCTTAACTCATCAAACTGCCCAAACACAGTCCAATAGGGACATAATTTAGACCTTTTAAAATAGGAATAATTCCCTTTTAAAAACAGGACAATTGCTTGAAAGGTCCATTTGTTGCAGATGAACAAAATTAAGTGAATATAACGCAATTTTGTATATTTGTAGTCAAACGGCTGTTTCTAATTTCAAGAATGGTCTTTGGAGGCCTACTTTATTAGGATAGTGTATGCTGACCTCTTTAGATAATTTGGTTCTCACGGCATATCGGGGCCTTGGTTGCTATGTAGGGAGTTGACACTGTTACTAAGCTACTTACATGTTGTCGTCTTCCTGTAGTACAGTCATGTCTCCAGAATGTTCTCATGCTGACATTGCTTGATGTCCATACACTGTCACTTACCTAATTCAAATATGACTCATGTTTCCTGTGAAATTGTTTCTTTTTTGTATTTTAATGAAAGGCCAGCTCTGAAGCTTTACATGCAGTCTTATTATGGGATTAGTTTTGTTGCATAAAGATAAAGCAACACTTTCTCAGAATCAAGCAAAACTAAGAGTTTAAAAACTGAGTCAAACAAAATACATTTAATTAACAAAATAAAACTATAAGTTGCAAACAAATCATTTGTGTAATCATATAAGTCTTTTTTCTTTGTTTCAACATATTTTTTTGTTTGCAGTTCTCTTTGCTTCTTTCCCAATGGGGACTTTCAGGGGTGCGTCCCCATTGGCTACTCAGTTTTAGAGTGACAGCCCAGTCCTCCAGCAATTGTACAGTGCAGGCAGCTGCGGTAGCTGAGCGTGGATAGAACACCCCTAGAAGAACCAGCATTTCAGTTATTATAATACTACAAGTGAAAATATATGTAAGAATTTATCATTTGTATTGTTTGTGCTGTACTATATGGTCTGTTTCTTTATTGTGTTAAGTGAGAAGTAAATAAAAGCTGTGCTATGAAAGTTAGCTTTTGCTACCTTTAGATCCATAACAATGCAAGCTAAGAAGCCTAATAGTTAGCTACATAGCAGTGCGTGAGCGTTCAGACACCGGCGCACACACTCAAACGTACTTGTGTGCCTGACTCTACCAACGTGCTTTCATGATTCTGTTTAGATATGCAAGTATAAGCCATGATAGCTTATTTTATTAACATGCTAATTTGATATGAAGATCAATGGAGGCTGAGTTTACTGCTCCTCTTTGTAGGAAAACCTACCGTCCATGACTGCCCCTGAGCTGAGTTTTATTTGTAAACTAATATTTTTAATTTCCTAAAACATTTATGTTCCTCTTATATTAACAGTGTGGATCATTGAGACAGCGTGGTGTCCAGAGTCTTATCCCGTTTTCCCACTTCCTCTGAGGGGACAGCACGGATGGGGGGCATGAAGAAAGACCTGCACCATCTTCTTCCACGCTGGCGTTACTGTTATCACTTGCTCAGTGTCATTTCATTTGACCAAATGTCTTTACATATACATGTAATAGATTTTATTATTATTCCCTTTTTTGTTTTATGTCCTTTTATTTAAAACATTCTTTGAGACTTCATCTTCTGCTTCAAATTTCAATAAATGTAATTTGTATAATCACTCTTTTGAGATTCCATTCAAATCTGTTGATTATTCATATCTTCCTCAGGCTAGGAATAGTATGTCGAGTTTTTAATGCTAAATGTATATCATTTTCTCACAGGATATAGAATGAGACAACACAGTTTGTATCCATTGTGTATGAATGAATGCTTCAGCTCTTCAGACCAACATAGTAAGATGTGGTCAACCCGGTATCACGGCAAGACGTGAACATGTGACGATTTACCATGCTGGGAGACGTGAAGATGTCACGATTTCGTCCCTTCAAACGTGACAGTTACACGGTATTATTAACCCATGTTAACCAGTGAAGAAATAACCGGAAATACCAAGCAAATGCTACCCCGACGTAATGATTTATTTTGTAATAGTCACACTCGATTACGACGATTTTCTTGTTGCCTCAGCTGGTCGACACCTCTTTTAGCAGAAACAAATACAAATACATTAATGTATTAAATCGATGTTAATCCATGCGTGTGGATGTGGAATTAACGGACGTGACGTTGTGCGATTGAGTTGCCAGGCAACAGCTTCGGTTCATGTTAATTTACAAACTCTTCAACTACAACCGTAGTTATATTTAAAAACATGTTAGAAGGCCTCACGAAATACTTTAATGCAAATTCAAATGTAAATGTGAAGGAATGTGTGTATAACAAAATACATCGGTCATAAACGAAACCGGAAACAGACATAGGCAAGATCCTCAGCTCGATGATTGGGTTTAGCCGCAATGCACGTTATTGAATTTTATTATTTTATTATTAGATATTAATAGGATCCCTATAAAGTATATTCATTACTCGTTATTCTCTACTAATAGTTCATTAAAGATTGTATATAATGACTAGTTTGCACATCCCTTTCAAGATTTTCTAAGCTAAGGTTATTGACATATCATATTATACACAACTACTGTGTAGTTATGCAATGAATGAAAAACTTGGGTCGCAGGTTCCTCAACAGTGCATTACAAGACATCTATCAATATGTTTGTATACTCCACCATTAAACTGTCATTCTGCACATTTCTTATACTATACTATACATCTTATAAGAGTATAATACATATGTATAATATCAGTTTAATAATAAACAAATAATAAACAAAGAAGTGCTTAAAACATAGTTAACATTGCAGGAAAGCAATATATTAGACGTTAAGTACTTTGTCAGGCTTAATATTTATCTGTAGATACAAATGTCACTGTGTGTGCTGTGTGCTCTGCATGTGTGACCATTAAAGAATCAGAATACCTTTATTAGTTCCACAGAGGTGAAATGTGCAGCGTTACAGCAGGAAAGAGCCACAGACAGCTTAGTGTTGCATATCTTACATGCGTTAAAAAAGTACTAAGTTATAAGAAAAATAAACAATATGCTAAAAAAGTACTAAGTTATAATATAATAAACAATATGCTAAAAAAAAGATAAAAAGTTACATAATTTTCAAAAATACAGATAAAAAACAAAACGGCATATATATATATATTCATTTAGTGGCCAGGTATAAATTACACAGTTATTAATGGCATATATATATTGCACATATATAGCACATATTGCACAAAGTTGGTTTGTATTTAGCAGCAAGGGGTGTTATAGTCTGTGTTGTGGTGTGTGTAGGAGGGTCTACTAGGGGCAGTGCTGGTTGTAAAGTCTGACCGCTGCAGGAAGGAAGGACCTGCGGTATCAAGAGGGTTTCATCCCTCCATATTC